TACTCATAAGTATATTCTTTACATGAATTTGAAATTTATTTATGGGTAGGTCAATTACATTTTGTGGAACTTTATTGAACATAGCAATACATTTACCCAGAAATGATCCTCTGGTTTTTTGAAGTCTGAAGCTTGGAACGGCAAGTTTATCTTTATTTCTTGTGTTAAGATTATGAACACTACTTTTTTTTGTGAAGGAATCGTAATGTTTTCTTGTGTACATAATATTCTCATAGATGTATTGAGAGGCAACAGTCAGAATATTTATTTCTTTAAATAGTTCTCTGAGAGATTCCCTAGACCGTAAATTATATATAGCACGGACAGCTCTCTTTTGTAAAATAAAAACATCCTGAATGCTAGCCGCAGAACCCCATAACAATATACCATACGTCATTACACTATGAAAATAACTAAAATATACCAATCTTGCCGTTTCAACATTTGTCAAGAGCCTAATTTTCTTAACAGCAAAAGCTGCAGAACTCAGTCTACTTGACAAGCTATCAATATGAGGATCCCATTGCAGTCGGGAATCTAGTGTAATACCAAGGAACCTTGTCGATTCTACTAACTCAACTTTTTCACTATTTACATTTATAAGTGTACTGACATGCCTCACATTAGGTAATGCAAACTTTATGCATTTCGTTTTATTTGAATTGAGCTTTAAATTATTATTATCAAACCACTGTAGAACATTGTCGAGAGCATTATTTACATCGTCAAAACAATCATTACCCCTCTCAACTTTAAACAGTAAAGAGGTGTCATCTGCAAATAATACTGTCTCGCACAAATTCTTCGTAAAGTGAGGAAGATCATTTATATAAATTAGAAAAAGCAATGGTCCTAATATCGATCCCTGAGGTACGCCCATAGTAACTGGTGCCCCTGCAAACTAACATTTTATTATTTTTTCTACCTTACAGATTTCATATTTAATTTTGTCTGCTAAAAATTAAATATAATCGATACATTGTCTGAATGCTAGTTATTTCAGTTTAATTCATGATTTTGTTTCCATCTCAGGTTCGGTTCCCGGATTGTGCTATAAATAATTTTGATAACCTTGAAATTTAGATGATTTTAAACTAACCGTTAGTGCTTTAATTTTACTTGAAGTACGGGTTCGATTCCCGTGTAATTTAATATATTGGTATTTGTTTTTTTTTTTTAACTTACAGATTATTATCGTAGCATCTTTTATTTTAACTTCATTCTAAATGATTTTTAATATCATTTTTATATTTACACACACACAGAAACACACGTTTTTATATTTTTTTTTTTACCGGTAGGTTTTTATAGAAGCTATAGCAAATGTAGCTATCTTAATTGTGCCAAGCCACTGGTAGCCGCACTTATTAAACTTCTATTCAGTGCTGTATTTATGATAACAGGGTTCTTCTTCTACCCCAGTCCTCCTGAACTTCGTGGATCTTCAGTGCTGCTGACCGGAGCTGACGACGGGTCTACACCCTTGTCAACCTCTGCCCGGCTCGTGAAGCTGAACCCGCGAACTCGTCACTAAATCCCCCTAACAAAACTTAAAGCTAAGTCCTCCCCTCATAATACCAGATACAGGAACCATAGCGAGCGAATATCTTTAGCTACCCCGTGAGAACAAAAATAAATAGTGTTAAACTTAAACTTTAGTTTAATTCTTTATACCTGAAGCCTGGGGGGTGCTTCTCACCCCCCATCTACAACCCAACGCTTCAATAACTTGATTAAAACATAATAAAATAAAATCTTTCACCAACAAAAACAATCAAAAGACTATCTCGTAAAATTCTTAATGTAACATATTATTATGTTCTACGTATCATCATCTTCACAACTTAAATTCTTCATTTAAAATATATTAAAAGTAGAGCATCCTCTTCACTACTTTCATTCTCTTTTTCTTCTTTCCTTTTTCTCAACGTGTTCTTTGTTAGTCTCTTTCAAAGACTTCACGGTATTACGTAGGTACTTGACTCCCATATCTGTCGATAATTCTTTTAAAGCGTTAGAAAACTTATTTGGGGTAAACTTTTTCTGTTTGCTTTGGTATGGTAAAACGAAGTATTTGTCCAGTTGAAACAGACATCTATCTAACAGTGCCGTTACCTTCGGGGGCTTAATAGTTCTTATTAAGGTATCTGCTATATTATTTTCTTGAGTTATTACCTCTTGTACGTTTTCAAAAGACTATCATTTCAAATGAATTAGTGATATCGTCTAAAAGTATTGTGGTTGTATTATTCTCAAGGAATTCTTGAAAAAAGTTCTCTTGTTGTGTGACTTCATCGTACTCCACGTTCATAAATCCTTAATGATAACCGTTAGTACATTTCAGCAAAAAAAGCAACTTAGTTCCTGAAAGTCATTCGAGGACTAGAGAAAGACCACAATAGGGTATTTGACACTTTTTTGAAAACTATTTTAAATCGTTGTTTGCTACATTATAAAATCACAGTCATAATATTTCATTGGAATCTTCCATATGGATCAGTATTTCTTTAAGAACCAATGTTTTTTTCAGATTCTTTATATATTTTAACGGGATTGCAATATTTAAACAGCTAAAAATAGCGTGACAATGAATTTCAAGTTTTCTGATTAAATTATTTTCTCCTTTAGCATTATATTTAATAGTTTGTGCACCCCACTCATGGTATTTAATATATTCGTCGTTTTATATTCTTAATAATCGATTTCTCGTTTAGAACATTTGTCACATGTTCTGTTCATATAATTTTCATTTTGAGAATCACAACAAAAACTCAAGTAATACAAAGCCGTTGGTTTCCTTAATTATTTGGTTTTTATTACATTTAAAAAACCAACAATACGGGTACATTTATTTCTGTTAGACTTCTTTGGATATATAACCCGATAATAATAACAATAGCCGATATTTCTTAAATGTTGAATATCCAAGTTTTTATGGAGGTTAATCAATGTATCCGACAAATAGCGTTTTTGTTTAGTAATTCCTTTCTCTCGTATATACTCTTTTTTTTCTCTGCTGTAATTCTGCTAAAACTCTCGTCTTCGAGGAAATCAATTACGTCTTGTTTTACATCTTTTACAGACATCTTATCTTCTTTTTTGTGTTCTATATCGTAAAAGTTTTGGCAGCATGTGATACTTTGTTTTTTGGAACTTTCCTTATTTGTTATAATTAAATCACTAAATTGTCGATTATCTTTCTTTTTAATGTTTGAAATCCTTCTGTTAATATTTTTAATAATTGTAAATAGTATTTTCTTTTATTTTTTTCTCTAACATTTTCATCGACAGTGCTAATTAATGATTCTACTTGTTCTTCTGTAGTTGGATTACTTTTCTGAGATCTCAATATGTTATTCATTAATCTTTCCGTCTTCTTCATTAATGTCTTCTTTTCTTTTCTTCCTTTTCAAGTTTTCTAGTTAGCTAGTTCTTTTCATGGGACTCCTTAGTTTTGACTTTTGCCAGAGCAGTTGCTGCAAAAACACCTTACTATTAATACAATAATAGTGCAAGTACATTAAAACGAAGAGCACTGTATTTAGTTCTAGACCATGATAATAAATCTTGGATTAATTTTTTATCTACATACGCTTAAGTTTTATTATGTTAATTTAAATCACAATGCAACATTGCAAACAAAAAAATTTCATCCCCATCAGTTTACCATCATTACCTTCAGATTTAAAACTGAAGGTAAATGATGGTAGTGATTTTTTGCAGTATTTGCTTCTCATGCTCAAATTTAAAATGATATTGTTAATTTGCAGTAAATTATAATAACTTATTCTTACATGTATATAATAAAATCTCTAGAAAAAAACATGGTACTTATTCTTCAATCGTGGTATTGGTAAAGATGACAAACTCGTGACAAAATAAAATTCCACTCACTATTTTCAATTTTGCTCCAGAAAACTGCGCGCTTGGCTCCCAGCTGAACTGTGGTTGGGACCGATTGTGAGTGGTATGTGAAAGCAGACCAACAGGGGTAACGCAAATAGGGTTTATACAGAAGGGTAGAGAGCTATTTAAAAGGAGGTTCAAGGTAATGAACGATTTTCGTGTGACAAATGTTTAATTATTTCTTATTTTAATAAAACAAAGAATATATTTTAAATAAAAATATTAAGTTACACTATAATGTATATGCTTCTAATATATCATTATTATGGGCCTCAAATACAACGTTATCATGTAAATAAAAAATGGTTTTTAAAATATTTCTGTTAAAGACACTGATGGTAATGAATTTTTGCTTTTTCCTCAAAATCAGAGAAGTACCCTTTTGATACAGTATAAGCTGTTGAATTAATACGCTTTGATATAGTAAGCAGTCAACTTAGAAAACTGTTGACAATTTGAAGTGTTAAGATTTTGTTCTACAGCACGCGTAGCATGACGAACGCGAGAACGTTTTGTCTACAGTCAAATGTCACTTTTCTCGAGTGCGTCCATACGATATCTCACTCTCAACCCGAGAAACTGACAAATGAGTGAAGACAAAGCGTTTCTCGAGTTTGTCATGCTACGCGTGCTGATCTTGTGGTGTTGATCTTTTAATTTTCGATACTATGATTTTTAACTTATATTATATAACACCCACTGTGGAGCTAATGTTTACTATGTCAGTAAAGTTCCTATTTTCAAAAATCAAGAAATTGAGCTTCTTTACAAAACTTTTGAGACTCGCACGCAGTAAAGCTAGTATTAAAATCTTCTATAATATTGCAGTGGGTTCTATATAAACACAAATGTCCAATGTGTTTACAATATACATAAAGCGAATAGATATACAGAGATTGGTCATTTTCTTCAATTAGATAATTTTTAGCTACTGTTTTAGTTGATAACTCTGATCCCTTTTTCACGCATGAACAGCGTATAATCCTCTTATCTGCATGAAGTAAAATATGATTTGTTGTATTCAGCACTGGCACCTTGTTCCATTATCACAGATTAAACTGGTCCCTTGATTCTATATACTTGTGAAATTATAATTATTCTATTTTGCCAGAAACTCTTCTCAAATAATTACTCCATAACACATTTTTGTAAAGAACCGCCTGCGCTTCTGGATTCTTGGCAGTCACAATACCCCTACCGACGACGACTACATCTGCACCTTTCTCCAGAATTACTTTCTCAGGAGTGTTGTACACTTGACCGAGTTCATCCTTTGAACATTCAAACTGCACTCCTGGTGTCAGTTGAATATATCGCGGATCGTTAAATGATTCTTTAGTCTGACAGACAAAGCCTGTTAATACATTTGGATATTTTGAAGCCATTTTCACAGTTTGTGCCGTGTACTCGGTTGTTATTAAATTTCCCTGAAAATAAATTTATATTTTTAGTTGGTCATGAAAAATTTTCAATTTTTATAATATATAAATCCAGTTTACATTATTCATTTTAAATTTTACCTCGCTACTCATTTCTGCCAACAGAAACACACCTCGGCTACCGATACCATTATCACATGAATTATTTATTGCTTTTAAAATGCCTTCTCCTGGCAAAGAATGTACTGTGACACAGTCAGCCCACTCTGCAATTTTGTGTATACCTTTTGAGTATTGCAGAGCTACAGTATTTCCTATGTCTGCAAATTTTCTATCTTCCAAAATCAAAAAATTGAACTTCTTTGCTAGATTTTTAAGACTCACGGTGAAGTCTGTGTTAAAATCTTCTATAATATCGGCGTGGGTCTTCAATAAACATATATGCTCACCAACTTTTTCTATCATATCTAATATTTTTATAGTAGACGTTAAGTCAATCGATAAACAGAGATTACTTTTCTTCGCAGACATAATGTGAAATAATCTCTTGGCCACAGTATTAGTGGATAACTCTGATCTCTGTTCATAAGTTAATAGAGTACGGTCCTCTAAACTGTCTGAAATAAAATTTGTTTTATTAAAATCTATATACAAAAGTACTTAATAATAACAGATGCAGATGGATGTTATATGTTTGTTAACATAAAATTTGTCTCGTTAGATTACAAACTGTTATAGATTGCAGTGAAGTTCACATATCACATATGGAATTAAGTATATAAACTGTCAATATTTACAATTTTAATGTTAACATAAATACAAACCAATTTTTACTGCTGCTGGAGTCTCTAATAAATATTTTTTTACTTTATTAGCCATTGTGTTGTCTATCTTTTCTTTTTGCACTAATATCTCTATTAATTTTGACATAGTGAACAGTGATTTTATCTGTACATCATTTTTAGCCAAATTTTCACGTCCACCTTGCTCTCTGTCTAGTATTATTAACGCTCTGTCTGCCTTTAATCCCTCTTTACGTAAGTCTTTTACAGTCTCGAGCACGCTGGAGCCAGAGGTTATAACATCCTCAATTATGAGGCAGGATTGGCCGGCCTCATAATGACCTTCTATCATTTTCTTAGTTCCATATGCCTTGGCTTCCTTGCGCCTCATGAGCATAGATTTTTTAGCACGCACACTTAACAGTGTAGCAATCGGTAATGCCGTATATGGCACACCACATATATGAACACAGTCCATTTCTTTGAAGGCAAACTCATAAATGAGATCCGATATTAATTCCTAAAATAAATTTACACCATTATATATTAAACACGCTACGGCATTTTTAATTATTTTGGATAGTGTGTTGATACTATTTTACTCACCATCACATCTGGATAACTTACGATAACCCTCAAATCGAAATAAACCGGAGTTTTTATACCGCTTTTCGTGTCAAATTCTCCAAATTTTACCGCATTTATGTTAAATAAGTTGACGGCAAGTTCTTCGATTCTTTGTTGCTCGTTATTCATTTTGTTTCTGATCAATCAGCGAATCACTTTATACAGAAATAAAGAAAATAATCGTCTTGTCTATTTTGTGTTGTACTGTACTGAAATAAATTACGAATGAATCACGTGGTACGGTTAGGTGAAGGTTTGGTGGTGGTACAACAAGGAACACAAACAACAAAGAAAGAAAGAAAAAAAGAGCGTTGTTGTAATATCACGTGGTAATTTTTTCTTTTTTTTTTTACAAGGGCAAAGGTATCAAGCACAAATTGTCTAGTATGAAGTAATAAGTTCTTTATGTAGTTTTTGAAGATAAATGAAAGGTAAGTACAAGAAGACTGAGAAGTCCACAAGATGGTGGTGAAAAGTTCGCGTTTTTACTATAAATTCACCAAACACTTTTAGTGTTTCTTTTTTTATGTTACTTTATTACGCAGAACAGAGAATGGCATAAACTTCATTTTCTTACTTACTTGATGGGTGAGTTGACGCCCATTCAAGATTCCGTCAAGTGCACGCGTTAAGTAATACCAATAATAACGTAAGGTTTGTCAAGTCGACTTGATCGTCTCCGGGATTCGTACCATTATAAAAAAACATAAATTGTCAGATTTTACGGTAAACTATATAGACGTACATAATAATTTTCTCAAAAACATACGAAGAACATATTAAACACTTATATCATTACTACTGGAAGCAATAATTTATATATTCCCTAGGAAAGTATAATTTGGAAGCAGATAGTTTGAGTAGAAATCCTATTTTAGAACCATATGAACAACAAGAGGAAAACTTAAAAATAGTTCATCTTATAAAACTAAAGGCAGATTTACACAGGGTCCAGTAGCTGTCGTCAGTGCTGGCGCCGAAAACTGACTCATACTATTTACACGCAGTCAGTAGTTCGTCTGTAGTCGAGGATATTTCTTTTGATGTACACACGTTTGTAAAGTCAGTGCGGAAAAATGAATTCTCGAAAACAGTATATTTTTTTATTTATGAACTCGGTAAGGCCAATCCCTTCTACATTCATTTCTCGTGCAATATTCTGTAATGCTGTTGCACGCATTTCTTTATTTTTGTTATTTTGTGATTTATTATCCCACAGACATTCATTGTCGCGGTATAGTTGAATAAGCCTTAATTTTCCGTATCGCTCAGTTTTCGCGTCATTTAGTGATGCGGCTCCGCCTTTAAGTCAACTGCTCTTTACCGTAATTCGGGGATTCCCCTACAAATATAGTCATTAAGTATACCAAAGACAAACATCATTATAGAAAAATGAAATAGATGGAACAGTAAAGTTGTCAGTTTTACGTGTATTATCATTGATTGGACGTTAATATGCTGCCTAACATTACAGTCAGCATTACCGGGTAGAGTGGGAGCAAATACCGGATTTTAAGGGCTGGTTACAGCCCGTCGAAAATGACACGATGAAGGCCTAATATAAACGATCAAAACATGACATAAATATGTTAATTTGCCACAGGAGGAAAATAATATTAGACATAAGTTAAATATGACATTAAATACTATAGCTAATTATAATAAAAAAATTACATGTCATTGACATAAACAAATTAATTTTTATTTTATATTTGACAAGAGATAAATATTATCTTTCTTTTTATTTTAAGAGACAAATAGCATCCTCGCTAGTATTTTATTTCATTAATTGAGCCAATAATTTGACTATCTCTACTGCTTTTATTGAGCAGAACAACTTAGACATAAATAAACAGACTTTGGAATGTGTTCCAAAACTTAATTTTGACAATTTAAATTGTTTAATAAGACAATAGAGAAAATCTCTAGCAATGAGATGACCAAGGAAAGGTCTAAACTATTGTTCACCAAAATAAACAAGGCTTTTCCGGAAAAGATCTAGAATTAGAAATATGTTTACATACCTAGTATGAATATTGATATAATATGTATTACAGAGCACTGGCTCAAAAATTATGAATTAATTAAGGTTTTTAAAAATTATGAGTTCATTAGTGTGTGTGTTCATTCACAAGTGCATTGATGAAGGAACTTTTCCTGATTTAATAAAATATGGTAAAATAATCCCACTTTTCAAGGCAGGCGACAAGTGTGCTCCCAGTTATTTCAGACCAATATCTATACTACCAGCGTTAAGTAAAGTATTTGAGAAAATTATTTACAATCAACTGCTTGCACACTTTTCGTTAAATAAATTACTTCACAGAAATCAGTTTGGCTTTAGCAGAGGTAAATGTAGGTACCACAGACGCTGGAATTGCACTTCTGAGGCATATCTATGATGCTTGGGAGAATAAACAAGATGCTATTGGAATTTTTTGCGATCTGTCAAAAGCATTCGGCTGCGTTAGTCATGAAACACTGTTAGGGAAATTAGAGCATTGTGGTGTGACGAAAAATTCACTTAATCTAATAAAATCATATCTTTCTGCTAGAATTCAAAAAGTAGTAATTAATGAAGCGAAATTTGCAGGGGCACCAATTACTACGGGCGTACCTCAGGGATCGGTATGAGGACCATTGCTTTTTCTAATTTACATTTATGAGTTTCCTCACTTTACGAAGAATTTGTGCGAAACAGTATTATTTGCAGATGACACCTCTTTACTGTTTAAAGTTGAGAGGGGTAATTAATGTTTTGACGATGTAAATGATGCTCTCGACAATGTTCTACAGTGGTTTGATAATAATAATTTAAAGCTCAATTCAAATAAAACGAAATGCATAAAGTTTGCATTACCTAATGTGAGGCATGTCAGTACACTTATAAATGTAAATAGTGAAAAAGTTTAGTTGGTAGAATCGACAAAGTTCCTTGGAATTACACTAGATTCCCGACTGCAATGGGATCCTCATATTGATAGCTTGTCAAGTAGACTGAGTTCTGCAGCTTTTGCTGTTAAGAAAATAAGACTCTTGAAAAATGTTGAAACGTCAATATTGGTATATTTTAGTTATTTTCATAGTGTAATGACGTATGATATATTGTTGTGGGGTTCTGCGGTTAGCATTCAGGATATTTTTATTCTACAAAAGAGAGCTGTCCGTGCTATATATAATTTACGGTCTAGGGAATCTCTCAGAGAAATATTTAAAGAAATAAATATTCTGACTGTTGCCTCTCAATACATCTATGAGAATATTATGTACACAAGTAAACATTACGATTCCTTCACAAAAAAATGTAGTGTTCATAATCTTAACACAAGAAATAAAAATAAACTTGCCGTTCCAAGTTTCAGACTTCAAAAAACCAGAGGATCATATTGCTATGTTTAATAAAGTTCCACAAAATGTAATTGACCTACCCATAAATAAATTTCAAATTCATGTAAAGAACATACTTATGTTATGAGTAAAGGCTATTATAATGTTGATGATTATTTCAAGGACCGCAATGCATGGAATTAATAGCCTTCGCTCTGTTCTATAACGATTAATTATAGGTATGTACCAACCTATGTACTACAGATTTTGAAACTTGTATTGTATTGTTCAATATATGTATTATTTTGGTAATGAGATGATTTATGTAAATTTCAAAATGTCAAAATTTTTAAATGATAAAAAGCTGGTAAGTTTCTTTCGCTTGTTCTTCTTGTCAGCTAAAAGACGTCCTGAACAAGTGGTAGGGGAAAAAATATTTTTGGACGGTTATTTGACATGTAATATTTTTAGCATAATTTTTAGCTTAAACTATAAAGCCTTAGCATAATTTTGGCAAAATTTAAACAGCCTTTTAGCAAATTTAATGTTACTCTTGTTGGCAGCACTGGTCAGTGCTGACGCGACAGTACTGTACTCACTTTAAAACAATTTACACGATGGCAGTGCCAGGTCAGCACTGACTCTGCAGTTGACTGACGTAAGTTACTGACTCGATGTAAAATTGAATTAAAACACATACAAAGAGATCAACAAAATAATGAAGAAATAAAACAAAACGGATTAAAAATATATCTGAAAGACACAATAGGGATGACGACAAATTTTCATTTGTTTGTTAAACACATATTTTTTTATTTTTTTTCGTAATCATAAAATTACGGCGTTATATGGAGTTGAAATTTCAACAAAAATGAAATTTTGAAAACGTACCATGACATCACGTTATGGTACGTTTTCTACTAAACCGTGACGTAGCGAGCCCCCATTCCTTAACTTTAATGCCTGTTATCAAAGCCATTTCTTGTTAAATTGAAGTAAAAAAAAAAAATCTAATATTTTTCTATTATCTGACTGACGGACTAAATAGAATTGCATTTTTTTTTACCCAGTCGTCATCCCTATTTACTATAAAACTGTCATGAAGAGAGAAAAGATTTTACTTACAGAAGAATTTACTAAAGAATTAATAAGAAATATAGCATTATCGTTATTGCCATTATTGACCCATACAAAATATGAATAGAAAAAATAAAACAATATTATACAACAAGAAATTTGTCAAAAGTATAATAATAGAAAAAAAAAAACTGTGAAGACCGTGAGATTTGTATCAGAAACAAATGTAACTTTGGACTAATGTCTCACTTAGGACCTGCGACGTACCCTTTTGAAATAGTATCCATAGATACAGTTGGTGGATTTGGAGGCACACGTTCTACAAAAACTTATTAACATCTATTAATAGATCATGTTTACTAGATTTGCCTATTTATTAACATCCAAAAGACAAAATTCACAGGATTTGATAAAATCAGTACAAAGAGTGTTACAAATAAATAAAATAGGTCTTATACGTACTAACAGATTAATATCCTAGAATAAATTCAAAATACCCTAAGAAACTGTTTAGATACACAGAAAATACCAATTATTATTTTTACAGCAGTGAATGCCCCATTTTCGAATGGACTAAATGAAAGATTAAACCAAAAGATTTAACATGCATTTCTGACGATTGAATAACCTATAAGCGACAGCCCTACATGTTTAGGCTATTATCTCTCGCTCGGGTCTCGAGTGCACCTACTTATATATATTTGTACTGTGCAATTGTTTTGAGAAATGTAGCTTTTTAAAATCATTATAAGGTACAGTCAACAGAAAACCCAAAAACAGAAATGCATCACTATCAGATGAGACAGTATGTGCGCGACACCTTTACCTAAGTAAAAATAAAAAAAGGAAAGTTACCACGTGATATTAAAATAAAACGCTCATTGTACCATACACTTATTATATAGGTATATTGTACCACGTGATTCATTCGTAATTTATTTCAATACAGTACAACACAGAGTAGACAATAAGTTTATTTTCTTTTTTCTGGATTCTTGACAGTCACAATACCCCTTCTGATGAATATTATAAATGCACCTTTGTCCAGAGTTACTTTCTCGGGAGTATCGTATACCAGAACATATTCGTCACGACGGACGTTTCAAACTGCACTGCTGATAATTCTTAATTCTGACCGACAAAGCCCAATATTAAGTATGGATATTTTGAATCCAATTTTTCCGTTTCTGCGGCGCAATCAGGAATTTCCCTATAAAATAAATTATTATTATTATTAGTTGATCATGACAATTCAAATCTTATTAAAAGTGAATTGAGTTTACATTTACAAAAAAAAAATGTTACCCGAGTACTCGTTTCTGTCAACAAGCACTCACCTGAAGTACTTATTTATTGCTTTTAAAATACCTTCTTCTGGCATAGAGTCAGCCCACTTTGTAATTTTGTGTATGCTCTTTGAGTAGGTACTGCACAGCTACAGTGTTTACTATGTCAGTAAAGTTCCTATTTTCAAAAATCAAGAAATTGAGCTTCTTTACAAAACTTGAGACTCGCACGCAGTAAAGCTAGTATTAAAATCTTCTATAATATTGCAGTGGATTCTATATAAACACAAATGTCCAATGTGTTTACAATATACATAAAGAGAACAGATATACAGAGATTGGTCATTTTCTTCAATTAGATAATTTTTAGCTACTGTTTTAATTGATAACTCTGATCACTTTTTCACGCATGAACAGCGTACAATCCTCTTATCTGCCTGAAGTAAAATATGATTTGTTGTATTCAGCACTGGCACCTTGTTCCATTATCACAGATTAAACTGGTCCCTTGATTCTATATACTTGTGAAATTATAATTATTCTATTTTGCCAGAAACTCTTCTCAAATAATTACTCCATAACACATTTTTGTAAAGAACCGCCTGCGCTTCTGGATTCTTGGCAGTCACAATACCCCTACCGACGACGACTACATCTGCACCTTTCTCCAGAATTACTTTCTCAGGAGTGTTGTACACTTGACCGAGTTCATCCTTTGAACATTCAAACTGCACTCCTGGTGTCAGTTGAATATATCGCGGATCGTTAAATGATTCTTTAGTCTGACAGACAAAGCCTGTTAATACATTTGGATATTTTGAAGCCATTTTCACAGTTTGTGCCGTGTACTCGGTTGTTATTAAATTTCCCTGAAAATAAATTTATATTTTTAGTTAGTCATGAAAAATTTTCAATTTTTATAATATATAAATCCAGTTTACATTATTCATTTTAAATTTTACCTCGCTACTCATTTCTGCCAACAGAAACACACCTCGGCTACCGATACCATTATCACATGAATTATTTATTGCTTTTAAAATGCCTTCTCCTGGCAAAGAATGTACTGTGACACAGTCAGCCCACTCTGCAATTTTGTGTATACCTTTTGAGTATTGCAGAGCTACAGTATTTCCTATGTCTGCAAATTTTCTATCTTCCAAAATCAAAAAATTGAACTTCTTTGCTAGATTTTTAAGACTCACGGTGAAGTCTGTGTTAAAATCTTCTATAATATCGGCGTGGGTCTTCAATAAACATATATGCTCACCAACTTTTTCTATCATATCTAATATTTTTATAGTAGACGTTAAGTCAATCGATAAACAGAGATTACTTTTCTTCGCAGACATAATGTGAAATAATCTCTTGGCCACAGTATTAGTGGATAACTCTGATCTCTGTTCATAAGTTAATAGAGTACGGTCCTCTAAACTGTCTGAAATAAAATTTGTTTTATTAAAATCTATATACAAAAGTACTTAATAATAACAGATGCAGATGGATGTTATATGTTTGTTAACATAAAATTTGTCTCGTTAGATTACAAACTGTTATAGATTGCAGTGAAGTTCACATATCACATATGGAATTAAGTATATAAACTGTCAATATTTACAATTTTAATGTTAACATAAATACAAACCAATTTTTACTGCTGCTGGAGTCTCTAATAAATATTTTTTTACTTTATTAGCCATTGTGTTGTCTATCTTTTCTTTTTGCACTAATATCTCTATTAATTTTGACATAGTGAACAGTGATTTTATCTGTACATCATTTTTAGCCAAATTTTCACGTCCACCTTGCTCTCTGTCTAGTATTATTAACGCTCTGTCTGCCTTTAATCCCTCTTTACGTAAGTCTTTTACAGTCTCGAGCACGCTGGAGCCAGAGGTTATAACATCCTCAATTATGAGGCAGGATTGGCCGGCCTCATAATGACCTTCTATCATTTTCTTAGTTCCATATGCCTTGGCTTCCTTGCGCCTCATGAGCATAGATTTTTTAGCACGCACACTTAACAGTGTAGCAATCGGTAATGCCGTATATGGCACACCACATATATGAACACAGTCCATTTCTTTGAAGGCAAACTCATAAATGAGATCCGATATTAATTCCTAAAATAAATTTACACCATTATATATTAAACACGCTACGGCATTTTTAATTATTTTGGATAGTGTGTTGATACTATTTTACTCACCATCACATCTGGATAACTTACGATAACCCTCAAATCGAAATAAACCGGAGTTTTTATACCGCTTTTCGTGTCAAATTCTCCAAATTTTACCGCATTTATGTTAAATAAGTTGACGGCAAGTTCTTCGATTCTTTGTTGCTCGTTATTCATTTTGTTTCTGATCAATCAGCGAATCACTTTATACAGAAATAAAGAAAATAATCGTCTTGTCTATTTTGTGTTGTACTGTACTGAAATAAATTACGAATGAATCACGTGGTACGGTTAGGTGAAGGTTTGGTGGTGGTACAACAAGGAACACAAACAACAAAGAAAGAAAGAAAAAAAGAGCGTTGTTGTAATATCACGTGGTAATTTTTTCTTTTTTTTTTTACAAGGGCAAAGGTATCAAGCACAAATTGTCTAGTATGAAGTAATAAGTTCTTTATGTAGTTTTTGAAGATAAATGAAAGGTAAGTACAAGAAGACTGAGAAGTCCACAAGATGGTGGTGAAAAGTTCGCGTTTTTACTATAAATTCACCAAACACTTTTAGTGTTTCTTTTTTTATGTTACTTTATTACGCAGAACAGAGAATGGCATAAACTTCATTTTCTTACTTACTTGATGGGTGAGTTGACGCCCATTCAAGATTCCGTCAAGTGCACGCGTTAAGTAATACCAATAATAACGTAAGGTTTGTCAAGTCGACTTGATCGTCTCCGGGATTCGTACCATTATAAAAAAACATAAATTGTCAGATTTTACGGTAAACTATATAGACGTACATAATAATTTTCTCAAAAACATACGAAGAACATATTAAACACTTATATCATTACTACTGGAAGCAATAATTTATATATTCCCTAGGAAAGTATAATTTGGAAGCAGATAGTTTGAGTAGAAATCCTATTTTAGAACCATATGAACAACAAGAGGAAAACTTAAAAATAGTTCATCTTATAAAACTAAAGGCAGATTTACACAGGGTCCAGTAGCTGTCGTCAGTGCTGGCGCCGAAAACTGACTCATACTATTTACACGCAGTCAGTAGTTCGTCTGTAGTCGAGGATATTTCTTTTGATGTACACACGTTTGTAAAGTCAGTGCGGAAAAATGAATTCTCGAAAACAGTATATTTTTTTATTTATGAACTCGGTAAGGCCAATCCCTTCTACATTCATTTCTCGTGCAATATTCTGTAATGCTGTTGCACGCATTTCTTTATTTTTGTTATTTTGTGATTTATTATCCCACAGACATTCATTGTCGCGGTATAGTTGAATAAGCCTTAATTTTCCGTATCGCTCAGTTTTCGCGTCATTTAGTGATGCGGCTCCGCCTTTAAGTCAACTGCTCTCTACCGTAATTCGGGGATTCCAAAGACAAATATCATTAAAGAAAAGAGAAATAGATGGAACATTAAAGTTGTCAGTTTTACGTGTATTATCATTGATTGGACGTTAATTTGCTGCCTAAATACAGTCAGCATTACCGGGTAGAGTGGGAGCAAATACCGGATTTTAAGGGCTGGTTACAGACTGTCGAAAATGACTCGATGAATGCCTAATATAAACGATTAAAACATGACATAAATATGTTAATTAGCCACAAGAGGCAAAATAATATGAGACATAAGTTAAATATGACATTAAATACTATAGCTAATCATAATGAAAATTACATGTAAATGACATAAACAAATAAGTTTTTATTTTATATTTGACAAGAGATAAATATTATCTTTCTTTTTATTTTAAGAGACAAATAGCATCCACTTAAATACCAGCTGCTATACTTAACTGTTGTAATTCACTAACTTTCATGATTTAATAACTATTACAATAAAAAGTGTGCATCTTAAAGAACCTAAAGAAGCAGGGTTAGATACCTAGATAGTTTCGGCACTATTCTCATGTCACTATAACTCTACCAAATTTAAAACGTTGCGTAATCCCTTCAAACGTTTCGGCAGTACAGTTTTTTAATTTTGTCAGACTATGATGTATTCATTAACCATTCATAAGGAAGGCCTGAGCCCCTGCAGTGGGGACGTAAAAGGGCTGGTGATGATGATGATGATGATGATGTATTCATAATTGTTAAACTACGTAATCTGGGATTGTCATCCATTGTGAATGCTACTGCCTTTCTTGTTGTTTTGCCATTTTCCGTGATTATGTTGCTATTGTTTCATTTTTGTTTTGTTATAGTTTTGTTTATGTTTTTAAGTTAAGTTTTGTTAAATATGGACGATGTCGGTGCAGGGCCGACTGGCCTACAACAATTATGCTCTAAGCCCCCATATCTTCCCTCAACCTTTGACATTTCAGGAAGTTTTTCCAATGCCTTCATCAATAGTCTAACGTATGTCTGAATAAAATTGTTTACCTTTCTTTCCTGGATAAAGATATAACTAAATTATATTTTAATTATATACACTTGCAATTAGAATTTATCAAAACAACAGATAGATAGTTTTAGTTCCATGTTGGCTTGAGAGTAAAAGATTAATTAAGAAAATGCTGGCCTCATCTCAACGCAGAGGTATCGCAAAAATGGAAAATTGCCCAGCTCTTTCAGATTACCTAACGTTCAAAGTTTCCATTCTCCAAGAGCGCGTGAAACAGACATGTCAAACTACATTGTGTTAATAAATACAGATTATTACTAATTTTGAGGATAAAACACTTCGTATATTTATGATAGAAATTATGGTTAGTTCGTTTAATCATTAAATTATACAATTTTTACGTAATGACAATTTTTCAGATTTATAACTCTGTCTTGTATGGGTGCGTTGTTGACGCTTTTTAGATCAACGAACGAGGTTGTTTATCGTTCACTGTGAACTAGTCTAAAAAACTGTTTTATCTCGTAAACAGACTGAACGGAACAAGAAATTGAGTCGAAATAACTACTTTAGTTGACGTAGTACATGGAAAGGTTTTCAAAAAATATTAATTATGTATTGTGAATGTATGCTTTAAAATATTTTGTTGTGACAACACCGATCTTTGTCGGTTATATTGCTTCCGAATAAATGTCGGCCCCTCCTCACCTTCAGCCTGACTGCGATGCACACAGTGCTGCTAATTTATATTTATTTATAGATTCTAATTCCTTTTATCGTAACCGTAAGTGTGTGACGTAAGTGATATTGTTAGAGCCTAGGAATAACAGAGGTTTTTATACTTAGTTCCATAAATAATTTAGACACTGTCATTAGCCATAATAATCTTTTCTTTTGTTCTGTTTATTCTGACACTGTGTAAACTCTACTAATAAACCACATCCGGGTTATGGGCGTAAAAATCTACCACGCTGAAGAATGTCTAAAGAGAATAGCGATAGTATGAGTACAGTCGCTGATAGATGTGATTCGAGTTATAAGAGTGATTCGTATTTTGGAACTATGAGTAGTACACACGTTATAGAGAAGCTTGACGGTAATTCAAACTATTCTACGTGGAAGTTCCAAATGGAAATGTACCTAATCGATGCAGACGTACAAGGTACAAAGAGAGATCAGCGGACTCGCTGCAGGGTGCTATCAAGATTAGTAGGTTACAAACTAGAGCGTTTTTCAACTGTTCGAGAATATGTCACTGCAGTAATGACAACGTCTCAGGAGCTGTCAGATCATATGACTAACAAAAGAGAGTGGTATAAAGACAATAAGAGTATAGACCTTATAATAGTGACTTGTGCTAACCATACAAAAGTGTATGGAGAAGGAGAAGGAAGTATGCAATTCATTAGGAGGAATGTCAGTTACTAATTGTTGAGGGAGACCTCCTTCTTGGTTTAAGATCTTTTTAAATTTAATTTAAATATTGACAATCTGTTCTGCACATGCGCGTCTATTGTTTATATATATTAATGTCTCTCTTCGTAAAGCTGTTGTCGGTGCTGTTTATATTTTTTTAAAGTACATATATATAATTTTGGTGGTAAATAAACTCATGTGATCTAAAAGCTCCCTGGTCTTTCTCTATACCCGTTTTACCATCGGGTATCACTAATGCTATGTATGTTCCTAAGTTATCAACTAACTTATTGAGCGTAAGTACTATTGCGAAAAAAGGTTACATAGCAGTATTTGGAAACGAAAGGTGTGAGATTTTTTAAGAGTAATGAATGTGTGATTTCAGGTCGAGTATTTCTGATAGGTGTAGCAGAAAGAGGCGTATACGAGGGTCAAACTGAAAGTTCTTAGAAAATCATAAACTGATTACATTAGCCAGTTATTAGTTTTATTATATCTTTTCAAAATATTGTCCATTCACGTCAATACACCGCTGCATGCGATGGAACCACTGGGAAAAGCACTTTGCCCACTCGTCCTTAGGGGTCTCTTCAATGGCATCGCGATACGCAGCCACCGCTTCTTCAGCATTCATAAACCGCTTTCCTTTAAGTTTTTCTTTAATTTTTGGAAATAAATAAAAATCACAAGGCGCGAGGTCGGGGCTATACGGCGGGTGACCCAGTAATTCAACGTTTGATGTCGCCAAATAGTCGATCGTTCGCTTGGCGGTGTGCGACGAGGCGTTGTCGTGGTGAAGGAGGATCCTACTGCGAGGTCGTTTCTCTCGAACTTTTTCCAAGACAAGTGGCAAACAATTGGTAGTGTACCATTCTGCAGAAACTGTTTTTTGATCCTCTAACACAATTGTTGCAAAATGACCTATCCTTCCAAAGAACGAGGCCACCATTTTTTTTCCCGCACTTCGATCTCTCTTCACTTTAGTTGGCAACTCCTCGAAAGGAAACACCCACTGAGCAGATTGTCTTTTGGTTTTAGGATCATAACAGTAAATCCAGCTTTCGTCACCTGTTAGTATGTCACAGCATTTGAGTCACCTCCGTTAAATCTTTCAATCATTTTACGACACCAATCCACACGATGGAGTTTTCGAGCCTCAGTCAAATTATGAGGTATCCACCGGGCGCAAAGCTTCCTGACCGCTAAATGTTCGTGGAGGATTTTGTGCACTTGACTCATACCGATGCCTAAGCTTGTCCGAATCTGTTGATAGGTCACTCTTTTGTCAGTCTCTATCATACGCCGCACAACACAGATGTTATCTTCAGTCGTCGCCGTAGAAGGCCGTCCCTCACGTAAATCATCAGTGAGATTAGTGCGACCACGTTTAAACTCATTAAACCAGTTGTAAACAGTCGCACGAGATGGGGCTTCATCGTGAAAGGCCAATCGTAGTCTATCATAACTTTCTTGTTGACTTAAATGACATCGAAAGTCATAAAAAATCATTGCACGAAAATTTTCTCGTGTTAAATTCATGAT